ATCATATGTCCTATTTTTGTTTACAGTGAAGTAACCCATCTAGCCATCCAGAGTCTATGAAGATTCTGCTGTTACTGAATGTGGGGGTGAGTTTCTGGAGAGTGGATATTTATAGCAATGCCTAATTTGAAGTCTGACAATAAGTGTGTACGTATGTGGGAATCAAACCAAATACATATGTGTGTTTGTTCATATTCCTATATTTATGCAGTAGGAAGATTTGCTGCATCATATGTCCTATTTTTGTTTACAGTGAAGTAACCCATCTAGCCATCCAGAGTCTATGAAGATTCTGCTGTTACTGAATGTGGGGGTGAGTTTCTGGAGAGTGGATATTTATAGCAATGCCTAATTTGAAGTCTGACAATAATTCCCTCTTTTTTAGTTTACAAAGATGCTTCTTAAGCATTCACATGTACTCCTTCTCTCAGCAGGTATAGTCAATAGACCTGGACAGCTCTGGCTAAACTTAATTTGAGGTTTGTTGCCATAAACAAATCATGAATTCTCTAGCTTTACAACACTGCTATTCATGCTTAGAGCAGAGCCACTGAAACATAGAAGCCTCTGTATGGTGGTGGTATATAAAAAAGTCAATATGGCAGTTGACACCACACAGTTGAAGCCTTGCAATATATGCCTCTGCATTGAAATCAATAGGATTTAAATGTGCCTAATTTAAGTTTCATTGGCTTTAAAGGGCCTACTCTGGATACTGCATCTGTATTCAACTTATCTATTTTTATCCAAGTCTACTCTAACTAAATTTAAATCTTTTTAACTTAAAAAGTGCCCTCTTTTTAAAATCCTCCTTCCAAACCTGTGATAGTGGAACGAAAGAGAATTTGACCTACTAATCATTGATCTTAGAATTTAGGCACATTCTGTTACCTAACCATTTCTAAATGATGATAGGTCTACTCAAAGAAAAGTCCTCAGAATTAGATTATGAAGATGAATTTTTAACATATACTGTGTTAAGAGATAAATATCATCTATCAGATGTAACTCAAGGGCAATATTTACATTTGGTACATTACATTTACATTAACTAACATAATATTGTTAACAGCATTGTTTGGACCAGCAGCATTTTCAGCTTCTGAGACACCGGAGATACTAGAACAGCTTGTTAACCCTTTAAAAAAAAACCCTACTAT